CTAACACCTCTCTAGAGATGTTTTGACTCTTCAAGACTCCAGGAAGCCCTAAGGCTTCCGTAGACAGACCATAGCTCTCTAGAGAAAAAGATTACCACTCAACCTCCATTTCTCTCCACAGACGGTCTGCTTAGCCAAAGCCCCTGAAAGAGATTAGCCCCTACTCTTCCCTCCTTCCTGATAAGGTGGCCAGGGAGAAGCGGGGTGTTCCCCCAGGAACCCTCTAAAACCATTCAAGGCAGGAGCCAGGGACTGCATGGCCTGTTCGTGCTATAAAAAGCCCTTTTTCGGGAAAAAAAAAATCATAAAGGAAGAAATCAGCCAATCCCTCCCTGATGCCATCACCTCTTCTTGGTGAATTTTCGGGGAAGGAGTGGGCGGGTTGCCATGGCAACAGATGCGAGCTCGGCTCCGTAAAGAAGGGACCTTGATATTTTTTTTTTCTGTTTCTCTCTCTTGGTTTTGTGTATGTGTGTGTGTATGTGTGTGCACACTCCACAGATTTTTTTAGATCTAAAGAAACCCCTCCTCTCCCTGCAGCACCCCAAATATGGAGCGGTGGAAAACCACTCACTCCCCCAGGCCAGGGAAGATTCAGAATGGCTCCAGGAGGAGGGAAGCCCCCTTCCCTAGCATGGAAGGCTCACCTTCCCCCTAAAGGAGTGCTTGCATTGGGGAGGGGTGCTTCCCAGAGATTTGGGGACTAATTGTGGAAAAGGGATGGGGGGTGAGTGGGGCTAGGGAAGGGGTTGAAGGAGGGGCCTGGGGTGCAGGAGGAGGTTGATCAGATAACACAGGAGACTGAGCAAGAGAAGGCAAATTGAATTGGACTTGGAACTACAAGGGCACACAGAGCTTCATGCACAGTCATACTGACACAGACAGACAGACATACCCAAGTACACATATGCAGATACAGATAAACACACAGAGAGATACATATAAATAGTTCCCCACACAGATAGATGTAGACATGCAGAGACAGACCCATATGCAGACCCAGACCCAGATAGACATATACATATAAACACAGTCATACAAATATGGACAGAGTTCCATACACACATATGCATATAAATATACACAGACCCACAAAGAGAGACACAAACAAACACAGACACAGATATACATAGATTCACATACATGGATGCACACAGACACAGCTATATGCAGTTAACCTCACATTCACATATATGTTCCCATAGCCCAACTCCCATATAAGCCATTGCATATATATATATATATATATATATATATATATATCCCCCTATCACAGCACTAAAAGGCTTCTTGGGTATGTGAAAATTTGATTGTGTTTGTTTGTGCATGTTATTTGTGTATACATCTCAATCGCTGAGTCTTTTTTCCTTCTACCATCTCATTTTACTTGTCCCCTGCCCCCTTATCCCAAGAGCTTCCTTGCCTAATCCCTGGCCCCTCTTTTTCCAGGAAAACTGGGGTCCCTAGTCCCCTAGTTTGCACAGACCAAAGCCTTTCATTCCTCAGTCCATCCAGCGCTCTCCCTCCCAGCCCAGGAACGGGGGTGACTCAGCTGGGGCCAGGATGACTCACTGCGACAGTATTTTTAGCCCCGGCCAGGAGCTCTCTAGCGGTGCCAGCCGCCCCCCTCCTCCTGCCTGCTATTTCTGAACCGTCACTGGTGATATAAATAGCTCCTCTCCCACGGCCTGAAGCTGCTTCCAGGTTATTTTTGGTTCTAAGAAGTTAAAAATAACTACATGAAGGTGGGAGGCCAGGGAGTTGGGGGCCGGCCTGGGAAGAAGGGAGCTTGGGGTAACTAGATCTTCTTGCCTTGAACTAAAGTAGACTAGGTTGATTCTACCACTCCCCCAACACACACACACACACACACACACACACACACACACACATCCTCTTTCAGGACTTATTGCCCTCCCAGAACTCGGACATCCTCATCCCACTCTCCTTCCAGAATCTCAGTAATTGCTCCCCTGGACCTCAATTCTCCCTTCATCCATTCTTACTTCCCTGCCAGAATCCAGATATCCTGCCCCCCAGTCCCCAGTAGAGGTTTGACTGGCTGCAGAGGGAGATTCCCTGAAGGTGGTGGATTTCCTAGTGTTCACAAAGTGGTATGGGGGAAGGAGGCAAAGGCAGGAGACTTGAATGGGGGCAGCCAGGAGGGGGAGCTGCACGGACAGACAGGCAAACAACAAGTACACAAATACAGACAAATAGATACAAACAGACAGACACAGAAATAGATATATACACGGGGACCCTGACTTAGCAGGTCTTGGGACTGACTGTCTATTTAGTCCTGATTCTTCAGATCAAATCTTCAGCACCACGGACAGCAACGAGTCTCCCTCAGTGATCTTGACACACACTGACTGGGCTCTGGGGGAAAGGAAACATTTCCTCCTACTGTGAAACGAGGCTAAATTGTCCCCCACCTCTCCCATTATGTTTCCACGCACATCTGGATGGGAGGTGCTAAGAGGAAAAGGGGACAGTGAGATCGGCTGGAAGAAAAGACTGAGAAAGAAGTTATACAGAGAGATAGGGCTAAAGAGGGGGCAAAATAGTTTGGGGTCATGGGGAAATGGATGTAGAGACAGCAAATTTACAATGAGCTTCCCATCTTCTATCCAAACACAGAGACAGAAAGATAGAGACAAAGAGATAGAGGTATCACACCTACCTACCCTGAAGGCCCTCCACCTCCTGATAGCACCATTGGGGAGGGAGGAGGGAAAGGTGTGTCTGTTGAAGGCCTCAGATAAAACATAGAAAGGGATAAGAAATTTGCCTTTGAAACTAAAGTTTCTTAGCTTATCCATAGATGGACCCTGCTTCTGTATAAGCCCCCCCTTCAGTATACACTTTTTCTACAGGGCAGTACTGAACAGTATTCTTGCCCCACTCCATCCCCCAAATTCTTGTTTTCAGAATCAGATGTCCAATTCACAACCTATTTTATTTGGTCTTTATCGAACATCAGAATTTATATTCCACCCCCAACCCCCAGAGATCTGAAAGATGCCTATGTCCAAACTCCCAGGCTACTTCTTCTTCCCTAACTTCCCGGGAAGAGGGTCCAGTATTCAGCATCCTGGCTTCCTCTCCCTTTCCAAATCTAGGAGGCCCTACACCTTCACCTTCTCAGGCCCCTGGAGAGAGGACCAATCTCACCTCGTGTGGGACATAGTATGGTCTTCCTCATTCATCTCCACTTGGGAGTGGGTCATACAGGGAGGGATAGAGATGGAAACAAAGATATAGAGATAGCAAAGCAGAGACAGAGAGTTAGGCAGAGCTAGTGACCCAAACAAATAGAAAGGAAAAGAGAGTAGACAGATAAAAAGTCAGAAAGGCAGAGACAGAATGTTACAGAGATACCAATTAATACAGAGAAACAGAGCGAGAAAAGACCGAAAGGAGAGACAGAATGATATCTCTCATGAGAGACAGAGACATTATTAAAAATGGTGGGGGAACTTGAGAAAGAAATGGAAGGCAAAGGCAGAGACGAAGATCCAAAGAGACCGAGAGGAAGAGATTAGAAGAGATTTGGAGATTGAAAGACAGAGAGTTGGGAAAAGGCTGAGGGTGGGGGGCAGGATGGAAGACAGCCGGGCAGACAGAAAGTAGTGGGACAAGCTGAGAGCAGGGAGAGCGCCCAGGGAGAACGGGGGCTCTTTCTTTGCGCCTCGCCCCCAGAGGCGCAGCCGCTAGGGAAAGGGGGCGGGGGAGCCTTTAAAAGCAGAGAGCTGAAGCACAGAGGCCCCGCCCCGCCGGCCGCGCCAGGAGGTTTCCTGCCCTAATATGGAGTTGGGATTCCCCCAGCCCCGCCCCCGCCCCCCGCCCCCGGCCCGCTGAGGCAAGGGGAGGGTAAGGGAGGGGAGGAGAAGGGCGCAGAGATGCCAAGACCGAAGCTGGGGGAAGGGGGGATCCCTCCGGGTGGGGGAAGAGGAGCCAGCACGGGCTTGGGGCAGGGATATCTGGGTCCCAGTTATGAACCTCGAGGCTTTCTTTCCTTGTGCCTCAATTCCCATTTCCCTTCTGCACCCCCAGGGGCGGTCTGGAGACCCTCTGTATTCGGGGGGCCAGAGAAAGAAAGGCAGGGGAAAGGGAGGTGCAAAAAGAAACATCTCCCACCAGTCCGTCAATCAGTCTGTGGGCACCATGGAGCGGGGCCTAGGGAGGAGGGACAGGGGCTTTGAAAAGTGTCCTCCAGGGGGCACCAGAGGGCCCGTGGGAATCTCTGCTTCGGGCAGCCAGGACTCCCTCATGCCCCCTCACCCCATCCCCTTCCCCTCCCAGAAGAATACTGGCCTATAGGAGGGGCTATAGGGCCGCTGCACAGACTCTAGGCTCTAGCAGGAGGCAGGACCCTGGCCCACAAGGCAGAGAGCAGCCGAACCCTGGGCTGGAGACAGGGCATCAGAATCAGATGCTGGGATGGGGGGAAGGACAGGGGGCCGAGCAGGGCTCGCCCAACTTCCAGAAGGGTCCTTCTCCAGCTTCCCGCAAGCCCCTGCACTCTAGAACCCCAGCTTTCCTCCTGCACGGCGGCGCTGAGCCTTGGCTCCATCCCCTCCAGGCTCGGCCCCCTCCTTTGCTTCTCTTCCCCCCCTCCCCCCCCCCCCCCCCCGCAGTTCCCCCTCCCTCTCTCGTTCTACGTCATGCGGATGACGTCGGAGGCTGGGGAGGGAGGAGGAGTGGGGGCCCCCCCAGCCGGCAGCTCCCCGTGCAGCCTGCTTGGCCCGGCCCCCCGCTCCTCCCGCCCCCCTCCCCGTCCCTGAATCGAGCCCCCCACGCCCGGCTGGGGCTATATAAAGCGAAGCGAGACGGGCGAGGGGGGCAGAGCTGCCAAACGGAGCCCGAGAGAGGGAGACAGACAGAGACCGAGAGAGAGACGGGGGAGAGAGAGGAGGAAGAAGCCGAAGAAGACGCGTCGGGGCGGGTACCCAGGTGTCCAAGGCTCCCAGGCGCGAGCTCTGCCGCCAACAGCCATGTACCGCTCCACCAAGGGCGCTTCTAAGGCGCGGCGAGACCAGATCAACGCGGAGATCCGGAGCCTCAAGGAGCTGCTGCCGCTGGCCGAAGCGGACAAAGTGCGGCTATCTTACCTGCACATCATGTCGCTAGCCTGCATCTACACCCGCAAGGGAGTCTTCTTTGCCGGAGGTGAGCGGGACCGGGCTGGCGGAGACCCTGGTGGGAGTGCGGGGCTGGAACTCCAGGGACCACTTCCAGGCTGAGAGAGGAGTCTCTTCAGAAAGGAGCCGGACAGGGAAGGGACCTAGGGGTGTCAGACTTCCCTCCTTTGCTCCCCAAGACCTCAGGGCGCCTTCCTTAATGTCAGCACGCTGGACAGGGAAGCTCCGCGAGTGTAATAGTCTCCAGTCCACAAGGGAGCATCCCATTAGGAGATCCTTTTTGCAGGGAAGCGCAGGGAAGCGCAGGCAGATAGAGCTGCCTGGAACCTGAGGCTCTGTCCGAGGTTCTGACACTGACGGTAGAGCATCGGTCTTGGGGACCTGCGGTGCTGAACCCGAGGAGCCTTGGGCTGCGGGTGCTGTCCATGGTTCTTAACCTTACTGTGGTCGGAGCGTGCTGTCCCTGGCTGGGCATTAAAGAATCCAATCAACAGGTCCCTCGGCCAGGAGGTAGGGGAGCGGGGTCAACAGGTGGGCGCTACTCCCGGGGCTGATCCATTGGAATCCCTATGGATTCCTGAAAGTCACTCCCTCTTCTCCCCCCATGTAGAAGAGAATGCTCTCTTCTTGTCTCCAGTCTTCCGGAGCGTCCCTCCTGACTCATCCTGTTTCTCTCTCCCATCAGGCGCCCCTCTGACTGGCCCAGCTGGGCTGCTTTCGGCGCAGGAGCTGGAAGACATCGTGGCGGCGCTGCCTGGGTTCCTGCTCATGTTTACAGCTGAAGGAAAGCTTCTCTATCTGTCTGACAACGTGAGCGAGCACTTGGGCCATTCCATGGTGAGTGCCTTCTTGTGACGGGAATCGACCAGAGCGCAAATAGATTCAACCAGGAAAGCTCTTCCCAGCCTAGAGGATGCTTAGAATAGCTGGGGCAGGGAAGCAACCGAAGGTCCAATTTTGATATTCAGAGGTTTTCTGAGGGTCCTGGAAAACATCCTCCTCTTCTTTCCACACACCCCCCCCCCCAAGGTGGGAAATAGAATAATGTAGTTAAGGGAGCATGGGGGGCTTGTAGCCAGAAACTAGGGACTACTCACAGGTCTTCGCCATAGCCAGTCACATAACCAGTGCTTTGTGACTTTCAATAATTAAATCCCCTCCCCTCCCTGGGTCACAGTTTCCACACCTTTGCCATGAAGGCTTGAACTAGATGGTCCTGTATGTCCTTCCCAGTTGTATGCTCCTACTCCATCCTAAGATTGTCCCCGTGGTAATTATGTGCATCCCCTGGGACAGGACAGTGTTGCACACCAGGGCTTAAGGAACTGGGAAACCAGAGCTATCTAGGGTCACCACTGAAGGACTGAGGCTACTAGATGTATTGAGTAGAGGCTGTGCATGGTTGGGCTTTCCCTCCATTCACTGATGGTCCTCTTTCTTTCCACCTTTTCCTGCTCCCTAGGTGGATCTGGTTGCCCAGGGTGACAGCATCTATGATATTATTGACCCTGCTGACCACCTCACTGTCCGTCAGCAGCTGACTCTGCCCTCCATGCCTGACACTGGTGAGTACTTTGCTTCCTTCCCTCTTCTCTGCCTTCTCTTGCATTGGACAAGTCCTTTTTCTCTCTACAATTATCATCCATTCACTCATTCATTGACTCACTTCTCTTTCCATTCAGATCGCCTTTTCCGATGCCGATTCAACACTTCCAAGTCCCTGAGGCGCCAGAGTGCAGGCAACAAGCTTGTGCTAATCCGTGGCCGCTTCCATCCTCACCCCCCTGGAGCCTACTGGGCAGGGAATCCTGTCTTCACAGCCTTCTGCGCCCCCCTTGATCTCCGAGCCCGCTCTGGACCAGGGTGTGGCCCTGGTCTGGCCTCGATCTTCTTGGCTGTGTTTCAGAGCCGACATGCCAAGGACCTCGCCCTGCTGGATGTCTCTGAGAGGTGAGTTTGGGGTGCCTAGGTCATGAGTAGAAAGACAGAGCTTCTACTACTGGGGTGGCACATTTGGTTTCCAAGAATCATGGGAGAGTCAGGGGCTTGAAGCAATAGGAGGGCCGGGATGTAGCAAAAAGAGTTGGTGTCTGGGAGGGAGTAAGCTGGGGTTGAAGGGTGCAGGATGCTTGGGTATCAAGATGGGATAGCAGAAAGCTGACCTCCTGCCTTCGCCCTTCCTAGTGTCCTAGTCTACCTGGGCTTTGAGCGCAGCGAGCTGGTCTGTAAATCATGGTATGGACTTCTGCACCCTGAGGACCTGGCCCACGCTTCGGCCCAGCACTACCGCCTGCGTGAGTGTCCTAGTGCATCCATGGGGCAGGAGCAGAGACAGGAGGGAGACAGAGCCAGGAATAATCTGGGGAGGAGATAAGCCAAAGGGGGAAGGACCAGGTCAGTGGTACTGATGTGTTTTAGCAGAAGATAGGACTTTGGATCCAAGGTCCTCTTGGTACCTATGTGACCTTGGTAAGTCAACTGACCTCTCTGGGCCTCAGTTTCCTCATCTGCAAAAACTTGATTAGATGATTGCTAAGTTCCCTTCTGGCTCTAAATCTATGATCTCATGAACCTATACATGGGCAGGTTTGTAATAGGATTGGGATGAAAGGTGATATCAGAGTCAGGATTCCAGGGATAGTGTGTGTAGGGGAGGGAGTTGAGGTGAGGACTGGTAAGGACTAGGGTTAGATCAAGCCAGGTGAGAGGTGGTCTGTTAGGGTGTTCGTAGTGGTGGTGGCCGATGGGCACTGGGCTAACCCTCCATCTCTTCTTTTCCCCTAGTGGCCAACAGTGGTGATGCTCAGGCAGAAATGGTAGTGAGACTGCAGGCCAAGGCTGGAGGCTGGGTATGGATGTACTCCCTGATGCATCCTGAGAGTTCAGATGGCCCCATCACTGCCAACAATTACCCAATCAGGTAAGCTGAAGCCCACGATTTGGAAAGGGGATCAGCTGTAGAGTTGCTTGGGTTCTTAGACAAGGGAACCAGGCTTCTCACCTCAGGTTCTCTTTTCTTCCTTCTTAGTGACTCAGAAGCCTGGTGTCTCCGCCAGCAGCTCAGCTCTGAAGATGCCCATCTGGCTTATGTTCTGGGCACCTCAACTGCACCAGCCACCTTCTCAGAAAGCCTCCTCTCTCCAGCCCAGTGTGCAAGCCCTGATCCGACCTTCACCCCAGCCTTTGGGGGTCCCAGAAGCACAAACTTCCCCACTGGCCCAGGACTGGCATCCATTTCCTCCGGAGAGCAGCTGCCTCAGCCCCCCAAGGAGATGGATTTCAATTATTTGGCATTCCCTACAGGCCCTGAGTCTACCTTCCAAGGAGATCTGTGCAAAGATTTTGTGTGCACCCCACCATACACACCTCACCAGCCAGGGGGGTGTGCCTTCCTCTTCAGCCTACAAGAGCCCTTCCAGACGCACATCTCCACCCCTTCCAGCTCCATCCAAGATCAGCTGGCTCCCAGCACTGCCATCTTCCCTGAGCAGCTGACCCCCAGCAGTGCCACCTTTCCTGAGTTGACCAGCCCCATGCAAGGCCAATTGACTGATGCCACAGCCCAGACCTATGAAGACCAGCTGACTCCCTGTGCCACGACTTTTCAAGAGCAGTTGATGCCTAACACTGCCACCTTCCAGGAGCAGTTGGCCAGCCCTGTCCAAGAACAACTGACCCCACTCAGCACAGCTTTCCAAACTCACCTGGCCAGCCCCAGCCGGACCTTCCCAGACCAACTGAGCCCTAACCCCACCAAAACTTACTTTCCCCAAGACGGCTGCAGTTTTCTCTATGAGAAGTTGCCCCCCAGCCCTAACAGTCCTGGTAATGGGGACTGCACTCTCCTGGCTCTGGCCCAGCTTCGGGGGCCACTCTCCGTGGATGTGCCCCTGGTGCCTGATGGCTTGCTTACCCCAGAGGCCTCCCCAGTCAAACAGAGTTTCTTCCATTACTCAGAAAAGGAGAGAAGTGAGATAGAGCGACTTATTCAGCAGATCAGCCAACTGGCCCAGGGTATGGACTGCCCTTTCCCAGCAGAGCCTGAAACAGAGGGACTTGAACCCCTGGGCCAAAGTCTCTCCTTCCTGGGGGCTGGTCCCCCCGTGTTCAGCCTGGACCTTAAATCTTGGAAAAATCAGGAGGTGGCATTCTTAGATGCCCCTGAGGACCAATTCCTGGAAGAGAAGTCTGTGGAAGACATCTTCATGGGCCTCTCCACCCCAACACCCCAGGGGGATTGGGGACCAGGGGGTCCTGAGACTTCAGGCCCAGGGGGGGCCCCATCGCCCTGCACCGACCTGTCCCCAGAAGATCACAGCTTCCTGGAGGACCTGGCCGCATACGAAACCGACTTTGAGACAGGTGTCTCAGCATTCCCCTGTGATGGATGTACTGATGAGTTGTATCAACTCCAGAGTCATGTTCAAGACAGCTTCCACGACGGTGAGTCAACCCACCCACTGACCTCATAAGAAGCTGAGGAGGGAGGGAAGAATTCAGTCCCCAGATGAGGAAACTGAGGCTAGCTGACTTGTCCCAAACTAACAGAGCTCAGTAGTATTGGCCCTGGGGGTAGAACCTCTGGGTGTGTTGGGGGTGGGTGGGTGAGGAGGGTCTCCTGACTCCTAGTCTAGCATTTTTCCACTGGGAAAGAGACAGAAAGAAAAGGCTGGGACAACTCAGAGGCACAGACAAAGTGGGATAGGAGCTGTCCCACACTCCCATTTCATGCCAGCCTTATTAGCTCAGACCCTTTCCCAGAATCCAAGCCCAACAACTCAATCCCTCCCATTTGTCGCTGTTCTGGGGTCCTCCATGTCTCCGCAGCCCTGCTTGAAAGGAGGGCAGGGGTCAGTCCCGTGACTAGCTCGGGCTTCTCTAACCCTGTCTCCTTGGTTTTCTCTTTCCTCAGATGGAAGTGGAGGGGAACCAGCGTTCTGAATAAGTCTGTGACTTAACGTTGTTGAGTATGGCATATTGTCATCCAGGAGTGGAGACGCTCTCCGCCGCCCCGGGAGCTCCGGCGGGATCCTTGGGGGCGCGGAGGGGAAGCGCGCAGCCCCTCCCGCCCTGAAGGATGGGAGGGGGGAGGAAGGGTGGTGGGAAGAAGGGGGAGGGGGGTTATTTTTAGAACCAAGAGACTTTGAGCAATCCCAGTTTCCACCTCAATCCGTATTCACTCGTAGTGAGTTTCCTTGAATGGGATTCCATACAGAGAACGGGGGAGTCACAGCTTCCCTTCCATGCTGCCCAAGGGGCCTGGGGGGAATTCTCCACTCCCAGGGGCCATAGGGGCCCCGGGGCTTCTGTGGGGGAAAAGGCCGGACCCGGGCTAGCCAGCGCCCCATGGGGCTCTTGACACTCACGTAGAATTGTCTACACTCCAGTAACAGGATTTCAATTCCTATGAACTCGGCCGCCTGCCGCGGCTTTTCCTGTGACTTTTGCGCCCTGCGCCTGGGGTGGGGGGCGTGAAGCGACTCTATCGTTTCTTTCCGATGAAGGAAGACAGATCTGTCGTCACGCCATGTGTGTATGTGTGTGTGTGTGTGTGTGTGTGTGTGTGCATACGCATGTGTGCACGTTTGCGTGCGCGCGTGTGTGTGAGTGTGTGTGTGTGTGTGTGTGTGTGTGTACAAGCAGGCAGGGACACCCTGGCTGCTGTGTTGGCCCCTGGGCCTCCATGCAGTGAAACTTGTGGTGCTGTGTTGACTTTGTAACCAACTTTATAATAAAGTCCGGTTCGCCTTTTTTGTAGCCCTGGTGTTGTTTGCTGACTTAGAAGAGAGGCGGGCTTGGGGTGCGCTGGGGGACCCTTGGTGGGGAAGGCCTGCAGATCGGGAAGCGCTCAGCCACTGAGCCCAAGCCAAGCCTGGTCTAAGAGCCAAAGGCTGTGGGCTCTGAGCCTGGAGTTAATCCTGGCTACTTCCTTCCTGCAGGCCGTCGCTGTTTCCCCATGGGGATGATGGAGGGGCGGGCTTCAAGATCTTCAGGATCAAACCTAGGCCGAGTTTTCCTCTGGGACCAGCAGCCTCGGCTGATTAGACCATGGAGGATGAGAAAGCTGAAGACTGTGGCTCTGGGCTTCTCTCCTCCTCCGGCCTCTCCCCAAGGCTGCTCACCTGGTCATGTGTCCCTGAAGCCCCTCCGTCAACAGCAGCTGTTGGTCAGCATTAGCAGCAGCCCTCCATCAGGGTTCCCCAAAAATGGGGTAGGAGCCTTGCCTTGGACATGTCCTGCTCTGAGCAAGCGTCAGCTTCCCTTTGGCTTTGCAGGGGAAGGATTAGAACGGGCTGGTCAACTTTTTTAATTTCTCAGGGAGATGTAACAATGTGCTGGTCAAGAAACAAAGTCCCCTTGCCTCACCCCTGCTTGTACACACACACACACACACACACACACACACACAGGCCGATGAGGACGCAAAGGTTCCATGGTGGGTTCTCTCTTGGAACCCTGCAGCAGCTAAAGCCCATTGGGTCCCAAGAGCTCACTGCTCCCTGCACCCCAGATTCCAGCAGAGGTGACCTGGGAACCTTCTTCATTCTTCCTGAATACTCAAATTCTAAGGCACCAAAACAGCCACCTAATTCCTTGAGGAATTGGGGGGCGGGGGAGACTTTCTCTAATGCAGGCTCCGATGAGCTCCAGTTACAGCCTAAAACCAAAGCTCTCTCACAGAGGGTAGGACCGGTACAGGGCAGCTGCCGGGGTCCTGTCTATGGGGGGCACGGCTCGCATGGGGCGGCTGCTGGGGGTCCCATCCACGGGGGCATGACTGGTACAGGGTGGCTGCCTGGATCCCGTCCAGTTCTGAAACTGCTTGAGGCTGATTTTCTGCCTCCATGCTCAGGGCTGTTTTCCTCACCCATCCCATTGATCTCTCTGCCTTTTGCTACACAAAAGCCTCCCTCCAAGACCCCTCAGCTTCCCCAACTCCAAGCCCACCAAACATTCAAGTTTTAAGATAGGATGGAGAGGAAGCGGGATCTCCTGCTGGAGAGAGACAACTTCTTCTCTTTCATTCCACCTTTGGGAAGGTGGAAGGACAGTCACTGACTCTGAAAAAAAACCACAGGTCCTTCGGGTGGCTGAGGAGGCCCCTCATTTTCTAGCCCAAGAGACAGTGCTGCTCAGGATGGGGGGGGGGGGGGAAGCACCTAATTCCCAGACTGCAGCCCGAGGCCTCTCATTTCTCAACCTGATTCTTCCCTTTCTCATGGGGAGAAGTCCATGGACTCAGACTTTCACCCCCACCCACTGCAGGGCACTCCTTCCTTCACTGCCCAGATGCTCAGGGGTAGCAAGGAGGGAGAAGACAACAAAAGCCAGAAGGACATCTTAGGAAACTGCACCCAACCTGACCGTCCAACCAGGCTCCAGAGCCTCCCCAGCCCCTCCTGATCCAATATCCCCTCCAGCTCTGCCTGTGGCTGCCTGGCCAGGGTCCTAGTCCTGAGACCCTAGCCCAGCCTTATTCTGCCAAGGAGAAATCTGAGGCCACCTGGGAGGGCATTTGCCCAAGGTCACACAGGGAGAGCATCAGAGAGAAAATGTGAACCTAGATCCTCTGACCCAGAGCCAGTATTCTTTCCCTGTTTCCTTCAACTGTTCTCCCTTAGTAGGAGTCTTAAGAGAAAGAGGGTAGATAAGCCTTGGGGGCACAGTAGCCAGGGGGCAGCTGCCAGGGTCCTGTCCAGAGGGGGCACAGCTTATATGGGGTGGCTGCTGGGATCCCATGCACTGGGGGCATGACTGGTACAGAGTGGCTGCTGGGCGTCCCATGCACTGGGGGCATGACTGGTACAGAGTGGTTGCCAGGGTCCCATCCACTGGGGGCATGACTGGTACAGAGTGGTTGCCAGGGTGCCATCCACTGGGGGCATGACTGGTACAGGGCGGCTGCCGGGGTCCCGTCTAGCTCTGACACTGCTCGAGGCTGATTTTCTGCCTCCACGCTCAGGGCTGCTTTCTCTACCCCATCCCATTGTTCTCCCTGCCTCTTCCCCATCAACCCCTGAGCAGCAGACAGACAAAGAGAACGAGGGAATAAATGATACAGTATTTATTGGGGTCTTTAGCCCTTTAAATTACAGACTGCCATGATACATAAAAGGTAAAGTAGGGTCAGAGGTGACCACCAGCCCTCTGACGCCAGGTGCGTGCAGCCAACGACCCTGGGGGCACGGAGGGGGGCTGGGCAGGTGGAGGGCTCACTTCTTGGCCGCCTCTGCCGCGGCGGCTTCGGCATCTGCCAGGGCCTGGGATGCCAGGAACTGGGCACGCTCCTCCTGGAAGGCAGCCAGCTGGTCTGCGCTGAGGCTGCAGAGAGGAAGAAGGCGGTCAGCACCCTGGGGGTCCTACGTTCAGGTGCTTGGGCTTCCTGGCCTCAGACCCAACCCAGCCCATTGCTCCTGCAAGAGCTGAACACCACCCCCACCCCACACCCCCACACCCCCACACCGTCCTCGCAGATCCAGTCCAGGATTCTGGCCTTCCTTCCTTGTGCCTCAGCCCCCCACCCGAGCTCTCAGCTCACCCAGGGTCCCCTCACTCCCTGCTCACTCACTCCTTCACCACGCGGATACCCAGCGAGCGGGCACTACCAAGGATGGACCGGACAACTGAGGACAGGGGGACATCCTGCAAAGCGAAGGCCTTGTCCTGAGCCTTCACGCAGGCGATCTCATACACATGCCTCACGGTGATCAACCCAGCGACCTCATGCCCTGAAAGGGAGGAAGGCACCTCAGCTGTCATCCTGCCTGCCCAGGCCGTTCCGTGGTCCCCCAGACCCAGCCCAGGTGCCAGGCCCATCACCTGTGTGCCTGGCTCCCTTTTCTATGCCAGCTGCTGCCTTCAGGAAGTAGGAAACGGTGGGCTGACTTATCTTGAGCTCAAACGTCCTGTCAGGCTGGAAGAGAGAAGCCAGAACGGGGGTTATCCCCCACCTCTGAGCCAACAGGACGTGCAGGTAGTTGGAGGGGAGAGCTTAGGGCTGGCTCTACAACCCTGGGAGTGCCCCGAGTGACGCTGGACCATGGGAGTGTGTGAGACCAACGAGAGAAAGAGGGTAGGGAAGAAGAGGGCCGAGGACAGAGTCTGGAGGGGAGGAATCTCAGCAATGGGGACAGAGGAGGAGCAGTCAGAGAGGTGTGGGCCAAGCCAGAGGGAGGCTGTGCCTTGTGCTTCTCTGGCCTCACGGGCCCCCGCACCTTCACAATGATCTTGGTGGGCAGGGGGATCCCCTCTTTGATGTCCTTTGTCTTCTCATTGAACTCCTTGCAGAACTGGCTGATGGCGAGACCATGCTGCCGGGGAGAAGGGGAGTGTGAGTGCCGAGAAGCCCAGACGACCCCCCCCCAGCCCAACGCTCCAAGGGGCTCCTCCCTCCACTCTCCTCCCTTGGGAGGCTGCCCCTCCACGGGTCATCCACATGTCTCTTACTTTGTGTGGAAACTCCCCAGAACACCAGCTCTTATTCTGATAGGGGGACTTTGGTGCTGTCATCCAGGGCTGTCCACCCCCAGGCCGTCAATCCAGCCCTCCTCTTCCTGCTCAGCTGGGGCTCTGGACAGCTGACACCACCCATCCCCAGCTCATCATGCACATGTGCCAGAGCTTGCGGTCCACTGGCATCACGGGATCACCTCCAAGCCACAGGGGAATGGGCTGAGGAAGGCTCAGACAGACAGCAGGACTCAGACTCCCCTGGCTTACTATCAGTGCAAGGGGGGGGGTCCGGGATACCCCCGCCTCAAGGTTCCTTCCAACTCTAAACCTAAGACCCTATGGGGTCTTTACACCCCCATGACCCCCCCCACAATTATACAGAGGAAGAGACAACACTACAGAGGCCGGGAGAGGTGGCAGCCTAGTGCGGGCCCTCGGTTCGAATCCTGCCTCTGAAGAGTCCTGGATGTGTGGCCTTGGGCAAGTCACTGCTCCTTTTGTGGCCTCAGTTTGCCGATCTGCAACGTAGGTGCAATACCTGCCCCTGGATGGTGGTACGAATTGACTGAGACAATGTACTTAAAGCGCTAGATGGATGGCTGTTTTATCATTATTGTTATTAAATGTCACGACAGGGTGCCACAATTTATAGGCGTCGGAGATAGTACTGGAACCCACAACATCGGACTCCAAGTGGTCAGCAAGGACGGCCTCGGAGTTGGGGCCACAAGAGCGTGTCCCGGTTGCGCATGCGTGGTAACCTCCTTATTAACCCCCCCCAAAAAAAAGCTCCCCTCTGCGCACGCGCACTGCAGTCGGGCTCCCTCGCGTACCTGGCCCAGGATGGGTCCCAGTGGGGGCCCGGGCATCGCTTGGCCCGCGCGCACGATGGCCCGGATGACGCCGCTGCCCTCGATCTTCCGGATGGAGCGCGTGGCCCGGCTGAGCTTCGACATGGCGCGGGCCGTGGGGTGCGAGCAGGAGCAGGAGAGGAGGGAAGAGTGGGATCCTGGCCCCAACAAGTCCGCCCGGCCTCACCGCGACCACAACCCAAACACGGGCGCCGCCATATTGGGTTAAAGGTCACGGGTCCTCGCGGAGCTCCTCCGGTGCTTCCCTTTCAACCCGGGATGAAGGAGGAATACTGGAAGGGGGAAGCAGACAGACCCGGAGATAGCAGCGAAAGTCTGGGCGCTGCCGTCTCTCGTCCGCCATCAGCAAACGAGGAAAGATCTCAAAAAGTTCTCTTTTCTACAGGCGATCGTGAGGGCAGCCGTGAAAGGGGGGGCCTAAAAAGCCCGCAAAGCATCGTGGGACGTGTAGTTTCTTACCAGACTCCAGCTTCTTGAGGCAGAGATTACGTCATGCTCTGGCGCCATCCTGTGGTGTAGAGGCAGCAGAGCACATTGCTGCAGTCCTTGGCTCCCCTCAGATTGATGCACCCTAGCCAAAAATTTCCTCACTTGTAAAATGATGTTAATCATTATTATTATTAACCCCAATCTACTTCCCGAGGTTCCTGCGAGTAATCAAATGGCATCATGTATGTAAAGTGCTTTACAAACCTTTAATAATTTAATACAAATAACATTGACAATAAACAAGTCGACTGTTAGCATTCACAGGAACCTAGGATGGAACCTTGTTGTTCCTCAGAAATAACATTCATTTCTCTTCTCACCTCTCTGCCTTTGCACATGCTATTCTCTGTGCCTGTAATTCTTTCCTTCTGACCTCTGCCTCTCAGAATTCTGAGTTTTAGGCTATCCAAGCCCCACCTCCTACATGTGACCTTTCCTGATTGCCCCCTATTGCCTCCTATTCGTTTGGGTTTATATGTGTCCGTGTTATATATAGACTAGAGGCTATGGAAGATACTCATTCCCTTCTGCTCTTTCCCAGTTATCATCATCCTTTCCTCTCTGCCCCTCCTCTCTGGAGAAGTAATTTGGGGCAACTAGCTGGCACAGTGAGTAGACTTGTGGAATCGGGAAGACCTGAGTTCAAATTCAGCCTAAGACATTTACTACCTGTGTGACTTGCCTGGGCAGTTTACTTTTGTTTGCCTCAGTTTCCCATCTGGAAACATGGCAGTAATAATGGCACCTCCCTCCCAGGGTTGTTGTGAGAGGACTTTGGAAGCTTGAGGCGCCGCATAAATGTTAGCTGTTATAAATCGGCCATACCGGTACAATAATTATTTCTCTTTTAGCTTAGTGATGACATACTGGCCCTCATGTTCATGTGGTACCCTGCTCTGAAAATTTATGCAGTTTATATTGGGTAGAAAGTTATTAATACCAATGCAATAGCTTAGAGCCCCCAGTTAGGAAAATTCCTAACTTTCAGACAGAGGTTTGGCTCTTCTCTAATTTCGATTTGGTATTTCCAGCTGACTTCAGGTCTCATTATATTTGAGACACAATCAGTATACAAGAAATGCTTAGGCGGTAGAGGTAAGAAGAGTAAGTTACAGAAACGATTACTGGACAGGCACGGGGAGGGGAACCTGGAGAGAGAGTGGACCTTTTTAAATATCCCTCAGTCACTGAAGAGGTGATTGTAACCAGCAACTTTATTCTGAGTTCTCTACTTCCAAGTGTCTGGAGGTGTTTAATGGCCCACTTCTGCCGCAGCTCAACTCTCTTGTCAGTTTTCTCCTTTCAACTGTTGTCTCTGTGGTACTGATTCCAATTTTGTTTCTTAAGTCCTAGACGGAGCAGGGGACGATGTCTACTCACTGCTGCTGTTAACTTTGTGTAGTCCTAGCTACTCCCTTTCAGTCTACTCTCTTGTAGACTGCATGTGTCTTTTTAAAAACTCCCAGGCTTGGGGGCAGCTCGGTGGTACAGTGGATAGAGCACCGGTCCTGGATTCAGGAGGACCTGAGTTCAACTCTGGCCTCAGACACATAACACTTACTAGCTGTGTTACCCTGGGCAAGTCACTTAACCCCATTGCCTAACCAAAAATAAAAAACAAAACAAAAAAAACAAACAAACAACAAAAAACTCCCAGGCTTGACTCAGATTGGTTTTCTGGCTCAGAATTGAGATAGTCCGAATCGCTTTCAAGGTTGAGAGAGAATGCTTATCCCTCTGAACTACAAAGCATAGGATGCCAGTCAGTTGTCAAACCCCATTTCATATTTTTGTCTTTGTACACAGTATATGCCTCATAGTACATGATCAATAAATGCTTCTTGCATTAATTAATTAATTGCATCAGTTAACCTTAGCCCACCCAGAAGGAAGCCCATGGAAACTGAAGCCTGGAGAGGTTAAATGACTCAAAGTCATCCTACTGATAAGGGGCAGAGTCACAAAGCCTTCTGACCCCTGATGTCAATCTCAGGAGCTCCTGATTAACACCTCTACTCTGACCCATATGGAGGGACCATCAGGTCTGGAGTCAGGATCTAGGCTAAAATTCCAGTGTTGCATGACCTTGAGAAAGTCCTTCATGGCACCTCTCAGAGCCTTGGTTTCCTAAACTGCAGAGTGGAAGGATTTTGCTAGATTATGGGAAGTAGTGCCTTATAGGAAAGGACTCAGCACAATCACATACTATACCGACTTCTTCAAAGTAAAGAACATTTTCACCCATAATTTCATTGGAAAATACATGAGCAGCTCTTGGGTGTGGGACACACACACACGCACACACACACACACACACACACACACACACACACACACACGAGCTGTGTTGTGGCTCCGAACAGCTGCTATAGGGTGTACAGGCCACCAGGTGGTACCCACAGCTCAAGTGGTGCTCACTGAGCACATGTGGAGAAAGGCACCTTCCCGCCTCCTGATTCTCCTTCATCCTCTGGGTTCACATTTTAAAATCTGATAGTGTGAATGAATTCCCTAAAAAGTCCTAACTTTCCATAGATTAGCTTTCACTCATTGAACCCCCAATCTTGCCCCCCAGCTCAGCATAGGCCCCCAAATTCACGTACTTAGCACTTAGGTTACAGCACTTACGAAAATGAAATCCAGAAGAAACTGCAACCTGGTCAGCATCCTAATCAGCTCTGATACCTTTACAGAAGGTCGGGATTCCCAGTGCCTCCCACCGTCTCTTCTGCATCTGGGGTTGCTAGGAGGTGCACAGTGCACAGAGCCCTGCATCTGGAGTCAGGAAGGCCAGAGTTCAAATCTAGCCTCAGACACTTACTAGGTGTGTGACCCTGGGCACGTCACTTCACCCTGTTTGCCTCAGTTTCCTCATCTGTAAAGTGAGCTGGAGAAGGAAATGGCAAACCACTCTGGTATTTCTGCCAAGAAAACCCCGAATGGGGTCACGAAGAATTGGACGCAACTGAAAACAAGTCAGCAGCAACAAAGAAAAATGAACAAACTGGAAGAATTCAGAGAAGGATGGGAAGATTTATATGCTGAGTGCAGTTAGCAGAACCAGGAAGACGATTTAGAGATTGATTATATCAACGTAAGTAGGAAGAACCAGGAAACAGAAACTGACCCCACGAATCGGCATAATGACCTGGCATGGCCCCAGAGAAGAGGTGAGCAAAGGCACCTTCCTTCCCAGAGGTAGGAGACGTCGGATGTGGAATGTCCTCAAGAGCTGAGTGACACCTAAGAGAAAGAGCAAGCTGTTCACAGGAGAGATTTGCAGATTCATTTATTGTCCTCTTTCTGTTCTGCTTTACAGATGGAAATGCTCATGTTATGCAAGTCAGAAAGCACTTAATAAGGGCTTACTCTGTGCCAGGCACTGGGAATATGAAGAAAAGCAAAAAAAAATCCCTGCTCTCAGGGAGCTCGGTCTAGGGAGGGAGCCGGCAGGCAGACAGAGATTTAGAAACAAGATAAATTGTAGATAGTCCCTGGGTGGTCAGCTAGCACTGAGGGGATCTGGGAAGGGCCTTTTGCAGAAGGTAGAATTTGAGCTGGGACTTGAAGGAAAACCAGAACGTGGATTGCAGGTACAGGGGGAGAGCCAGAGATAAAGCACAGAGGAGGGGAATGGAGCTTTGTGTAGGAGGAACAGTGTTAATGGTTCTTGGTTATGGAGGGAAGAAAAGTAGGTAGCACAGTGGATAGAGCTGGGCCTGAAGTCAGGAAGACGCGTCTTCCTGAGTTCAAATCCAGCCTCAGACACTTCTAGCTGTGCAACCTTGGGCAAGTCACTTCACCCTGTTTGCCTCAGTTTCCTCATCTGTAAAATGAGCTGAAGAAGGAAATGGCAAACCACCCCAGGATCTGTGCCAAGAAAACCCCAAATGGGGTCACAAATCCCTGGACATGGCTGAAAAATGACTGGACAACAACAAAAGTGTAAGAGGACTGGAGTGGTAGGAGGAGGCCAGAGGAGGTGATAGGGAAGCACTGGAGTTCATTGAATAGGGAAGTGAAAGCTCACTTCGGCAGCTGAGCACCGGCTGGACTGGAGCAGGGGAGGGCGGCCACCAGCCGGCAGCCTTGGCGATAGTCCAGGCGTGAGGGCATGAGGGGCTGCACCGGGGGGAGTCGCCTGGGTGGAGAGAAAGGGCCATGTGTGTGAAGAGAGAGCCAACAAGACTTGGTGTCAGACTGGCCCTTTGGGGTGAGGGTGAGGGAAAGGCAAGACTGGAAACTGGTGGGAAATTCAGAATTTTAAAACTGGCAAAGGAAGGTTCTCGACACCGTCGTTTGTTCGGCTTTCTTCCCCTCCTCACTTCTGACTCTGGGGCTCCCTGGCTTCCTTCGAGGCTCAGCTGAAGCACCCCTGCACCCCTTGTGGGTGGCCTTTCC